AACCCTACTGGTTTCTGGTATTCCCGTCCCTCCACCCGTGCCAGAAGCTGCTGTTGCTTCGACGAATGATGGACCGATTAGCTTCAAGTCCATATCTTCACTTCCAAGCACGTCTAGGGACGGAATATTGTTAACTCCGCATCATGGGAGGAAGCGAGTTGGTTCAGAGATTTTCCGTATTCCCAAGAGGGCAAGGAGCGTGTAGACAACTTTTGTGTTTTTTTCTCCCTTTTTTGGGCCTGTCGGTATCGACAAACTATTACAGTAAACATTTGAATGTAACATTTTTATTCGCAGATTTTACGCACATGCAAAGGCCTGTTTAGTCATATAACGTTGGCAGCAGGGACAGTAAATAATAAAATGCTAGAAACACGGTAACGTGATCCACGATCATAAATAAGCGCCCAAGAACTTGAGGTCGGATGTTCTTGCCATTTTTCACACACACATGCTTAAGTCTTTCTATTACATATTCAACTGCTCACCCAGTTCCGGCTCGTTGGCCGCAAAATATATAGGCTGGTTTTGGCCATGGTTGAGCATGCACGTTCCCTGGTGCGCCTGTTCCCTTTCGGGGGCAAGCATGAGCTCCAGAGTTCTCTATGTGAGGCGTCTTCACCCTAATTCCGCTTTGGCTCTGACCGGGTTGGGCGCTTCTCTGAACTTCGTGGTTGTTTTTATTTTTCCATGGATAGGTAGTCGTCCTTCCTGCCCTGATTTTGCGCTGCGATCACCACGCCTTCTATGCAAATACTTGAATATGTCCCTCGAGCGCACGACTATTATACTTTCGCTTATTATATAAATCCTATCTGCTTCATTGTAAAGGTCCCGAATACGCTACAAATTATTACGCTTTCTTCACTTCGTAAATCTCGTGGCACGATGTGATCGACTGATCACAACTTTAGGCGCCCAAAACTGTTCCCGCCGATATTAGAGCCTTAGCTTTCTGGAACCTCTCTTATTGGCTCTTTGTCCTTTCATATTTGTGCTGACCGTTTTATGAATTCTAATAGAGACTGGCAGTCAGCCGCCTACTGGGAAGGCGGCTTGTGAACAAGACCGCAGACAAACAAGAGCATATTTTCCCGCTCTATATAAACGGCTCCCCTACTCTCTTCCGTCTTTCATTCAGACCACTACCACTACCACTTTACATCGTCCCAACCAAAAGCGATTTCATAAAAGCCTATCTTGCTTCAGCTCGCCATGCGTTCATGCTCAGGCTCACTACTACCGTGGTCGATAGTCATGGCCTCCGATCCCACTTGAGGTATGTCGTCCAGTACATTTGTTATAGCCTCCCTTACTAATTATTCCGTTGATTTAGGTCGGGATTATCTACATCGCGTTCACACCCTGACAATGCCTCGCAGTTTTTGCTCATCTCGCTGTGGTACATGGCTTCGATTGGAGAAAGTTAATCTATCGGATCAAGTACGTCCGATGTTCTCGTTTCTCTCAGACCAGGAATTAATCTTTCCTCGCAGCCATAATCGCCATCGATAGTTTGAAGTTCCAGCCTTAGCACTCCTACGCTCCTGCCTACGTTCAATTGTTCGTCTTACTCCCTCCAATAACACAATACGAAGCTCACATGGCAGTACTGACAATCATTTGACGACATCCTCAATGTCGACATCGAGCTATCGACATGAACCAACTAGTTGTCTAGGCGCCTGATGTTTTCTCTTTCCACCCGCTCGTGCTGCATCTCGCCTTGTTCAACGTCCGTAAGTGTTAAACTCTTATTATCTTTCTTCTGGCACTGATACGCCGTCCTCCAGCATCCCACATACACTACGTCTTCGAAGGAAGGGCTATCCTCTGCAGTGCGGGTCTACATCTCGCCTTGTCCAAGATATGGTATTATATCCCACCTTTTCAGTTATCCTCCCGCTGTTATTCACGCCGTCTCCTCTTCAGCACCCCAAAAATTCGCCATCTCCGACTGCGCTCTCGCTGGTAGGCAGTGTGGGTTATTATATGGTCGGTAAGGCGCATCTTCTTGATTGACACCGCGCATGAAGTGCCGCTGCCCTTATTCGGCCTCGGCCATGATTGGGCATGCACGTTCCGTGGAGCGCCTCTACCCCTCCGGGGGCAAGCATGAGCTCCAGAGTTCTCTATGGGAGGCGCCTTGACCCTAATTCGGCTTTGGCTATGACGGGGTTGGGCGCTTCTTTGAGCTTCGCGGGTGTTTTTCATTGACAGACAGTCGTCTTGCTTTCCCTGGCTCTGTGCTACTACCATGGCGCTCTGCGTATCTCGATGTGCCGATTCGACCGAACGACTATATTATTTATGGATTTTATTTTTATTATGTAGAGCGCTCTTGTCTCGTTTTCAATGGTTCCTAAACATACCACAATTTTTTCACGCACCCATTTACTTGCGCGATTAAGTTACTTTCTGAACTTCAGGTAAAAAAATTCCTTATGTACCAGGCTGGAAAAACTTCAAGGAGTTACTGACAGCCTTGAATATTCCTCGGAGCGCATGGGTATCGAATCTCAATTATCAGTTGTCTTTCGGCCCACTGAACGTGCTCTCTCTAGGGGCCAATCTTGGTTGCCAAGCTAGTCACCCGGCAGCAGCACCATCCATGCATGGGCTCCTTCAGGTACGAGAAAAAAAACGAACGAAAGACCATGGTGGACAGTCCCGTCCGACGTCAGGAAGAAATTATTGAGCAGAGATATTGGGAAACTTGAAATACAAGAAAAGACAGTAATTCGTCGTATCTTCGGAAAGGCAGTTCAAATGCCCATCGACGGAGAATGGAAAAGCTGGTAGATGGATATCAAATAAATAGAAGGCACACGAGCATTTGGAATCAATTGTTTTGATACTCCCACTTAGAATCCAATGGGAGGTAAGTCGGAAGCTTCGAGAATGTAAGATAGTGGGAAACTTTATGAAGGCAACCGAGTATCAATGTCAAAATCGTAGCTGAGAAGCTGAATTTTGGACACTTGGAGCATTAGGTCGGCTACGAACGTTTGCTTAATCGTCTTCGGGTGGTGTTGACCAGGGGGCCGTCATCGGAGAAATCCGTGAAATCAACTGGTACAGTCGGGTCGTGGGAAAAGGCACGTGCATTCCGGCAGATCTTGTAATGCACAACTTAACGCGCACTTCTGGAGTGTGCAATGCATAGTAGCTAGTGAGATCTAATGCTATAAACAATATTTTATCCTTCAATTTTGAGCTAGAGTAGATCTCGTTATAAATTTATGACATTTTGTAGGTGTAAACTTGGTGTAAACCCCTGCGCCTAACTTTGATCTAACCTTCATAGAATCTATCAGCGAATTTTTACCTCCCTTGTGCGAAACAAACACAGATCCTTCTCAGCTGTCCATTCATGCATTAAAAATGGTATAAATGGATGCGAAGTCGATGCGAAAGAGTGAATACGGAGGAGATCTCTCCCGTTTAGGAAATCACGTGCTTTCTCCCACGACCCGACTGTACCAGTTGATTTCACGGATTTCTCCGATGACGGCCCCCTGGTGTTGACAGCACTAATCCGACGATGGTGATTGGTCTTGTAAATAGCAATGCTCTGATTGGCTCACCTAATTGATATCGGGCCGCAGAAAATGTGACATCACAGGGTATTTATACTCCTCGCTCTTTCGCCTCCCTTTTTTCTGTACAATAATGGCCTCTGGATCCTCCTCTTCTTCGTCCACCACCGCCGTTCGTCTCCCGCCTCGTGCAGATACTGCTCCAAAACCGCCAGTTTGGGCCATTGACTCTGAACCGGGCGTTCACCAGGGATGCGCAAGGCAGGACCGTACAGACGGCGTTTGTTGCAAGGAGCTTATCCACGAACAGAGGACGCTCATCGACCCCGACATCGTTCGTGACGCGTAAGTCTTCCTCCGTGTCTCTGTGCTCCCCGAGGCTCACGACTCTGTCAGTGTCATTGGCCTCTCGGATGGCCTCACCGTTCCTTTCGCACTCGCCGCCGGTCTTTCGTCTCTGGGGGAATCGAAACTTGTCGTCCTAGGCGGTGTGGCAGAGTTGTTTGCTGGTGCTATATCCATGGGTATCGGAGGCTTCTTGGCTTCCCAGGCGGAGCGTGATCATTACCGATACCTTCGGCACCATACCGCCCAGCGTGTCCATCATAGCTGCGCAGGCGAGATGGAGCGAGAAGTCACAGAGGTTCTTGGGCCAGTAGGAGTCGACGAAAAGACGTGTCGGGCGGTCGCTCAGTCGTTGAAGGAGGTCGAGGGCGAGGATAGCTTCCTCACGTCTGAAACAGCCACAGAGGAAGAAAACGCGAAGCTCAAATGGAGTAAAGAAGTTGGATTGACTGCTTTTCTGTTAAAGTTCGGACAAGGGATGGGTTCGTCGATGTTTTTCTTTGTGCGAATTTGTTTGAATCGTTGTACTGATTGAGTCTTGCTTGGAATTTACAGAGGAAATTCCTGACAAACGCATGTATATTTCGGCGTTCACCATCGGCATGGGGTACCTCATCGGCGGAATCATCCCTCTGCTACCATACTTCTTCATCCCAAGGGCGCATATCGCTCTTATGTACTCCTCCATTGTCACCGGCATCATCCTCCTCATCTTCGGCGCTGTGAAAGCTCGAGTAACGGGTGCCGCTCAGAGTCTGGGAGGTTATATTTGGGGCGCAGTTAGCATCTTGATGGTGGGAGGTGTCGCAGCAGCTGCGGCGTTCGCCATTGTCAGACTTATGGAGGGAGGTGGTGAGTAATGTCATGGTGGTTAGGCGCCCTGTTCTACTCTAGATTATTTCTCTTTGCTTCTTCTTCGACTATTTTTATTGACACTTATAATACCCTATATTGTTTGTTTATTTCGTACCGATCTTGTATATCTAGCCGACCTCAATTAAATAACGTCTACTTTCACCAAAGGATAAATAATCCTGTCATACATAAAAATGGCAAGCTCCTCGCCCTTTTTTTCCTTGCAGCCAGCGGAGAAAAAAACAATCAGATTGTCTGGAACTGCCCCAGAGAGACTCGAACTCTCGATCTTCCGATGTCGCAAGGTGGATAACAGTCGGACGCCGTAACCAACTAAGCCATGGGGCAGGTTGAAGTGCGCTGACATTGATCCGTGGTGTGGTCGGAATCTCCTTTTTCCGCGATTAGCAGGGGAGCACCAGTTGGTACCTCTTGCTTCCTTCTCAGTTGTTCAGAATATTGGTAACTTGAGGGAAATAAAGTGAACAAATAATTTCAAAAGGCCGCTGTGCCTCCTCCCCCATGAAGGCCGAAGTGCGTAATTATAACGATAAGGAAATCAATTACTCCTTCCTGTATTTGTCTGGGTATATGGTATGATGGAATGGTGAGTGCTGTCGACGATGAGGATTTATTGAGTACCGAGAGTCGATTGAAACTCACGAGGGAAACGGGACGAAGGGTTACGCTCCGCTCAGGCAACGACGCAGTAGCCGTTGCCGCCTGAACCTCCGCTCTCTTCGTTGGTGGGGACGTTGGAGACGAGGGCAATCTCGGAGATGTGGGTGAAGGAATCCATTTGGTTTAGGTAATTGCTTGCGTCAAACGAAGTGCTTCGGGTAAGAAGAGTGGCTTGCAGTGCGACTGGGGAAAAGAGAGACCTTTGATGGGGCTTTTATACGCGTTGGAGTCGGTGCATGAATAACGAGGGTTATTTTGTTCCAGGCCGTATATGGAATTTAAAAGGAATGGATTACAGGGCGTCTGACGTTCATGACTTTTCCAGCTGACAATAAACTTCGCGTCGGGGTCCGGCCCATGTTATCACGTTCGTCCGATGTTGAAGATTATATCGGAACAATACGCCCTATTGTGAGAGCCCTGGCGGCCGAAATATATGGCTCGACGCGTTATTCATTCGATGGTTTGTGTGGCGGCGGGGTGGGAGGTAAAGTGTTCCGGTATAGACAAAAGACACAATTGAAACTCTTCGTCTGTGTTCTCCAATTTGTGAAGGTTCATGAGGCAGGAGATCGCTGTATGATAGGTAGGGTTGGTTTTCCATTCGTTTGGCAAGCAACTTCAGACTTTCACGGCGTTAAGAAGAATCGCCGTATGATGGCTCTTCGTTCGCCCAGTTCATGATCGGTACGACTTGCGACCGGGGGTGCATGGTCATGAGAGAAATGAAATTCATGAATCAAGGGTATCTGTCGCGAATTCTCGTCAACAAAAAGCTTGAAAAGGCCATATGACTTGATGTGAAGATGCAATCGTAAATGAAAGCAAGAGATAATGGATGTTCGGTTGGTAGACAGGAAAAATCGTCATGAATTCTCATCCACTCGGGGGTTCAGACCTGAAACTGATGCCCGTGAACGAAAAAAAAATGTTCAGTAGGACGTAGAAAAGAAAGATCGATGATGGAAGCATCCCCAACAGTCGGCTGCTGGCACCCTTGATCGATGAACAGCAGTGCAATAGTCGTCGGCACCTTGATTAGGTCGAGGCTGAGGGTGCCGGTGAGGGGCTAAGGTAGGACAAATTCGCCCAGTAATGCCCAAGTAATGACCCAAGAAAAGGGATGCTCGTCTCCGCCGTCCAGGGCGTCATTGCTCTGTCAGCTCTTTCGCGCTGTGCGAAGACAGGAAATCCACCGTATGCAAAATTTGCAAGGGGGTCGTCTTTGTTCCATGAATAACACAAAACAAAGACCCAAGTCGCTTGGGGAAGCTCAACAACCCCAGTGGGGAAACCCAGGAGACCCGTCTTCGCAGAGCGAAAGGTTGGATGTAGAGGAAGGAGCCCGGCGTCGGGCAATCGGGTAATTTGATGAAAAAAGAGGGGAAGAAGATGAACGGGTGGCCTTAGGGGTCAAGGGGGAGTAGCGTAAGTAGCCAACTCTCCTTTGATGTTTGCGGTGGGTCACTTTCTTGCGAAGACATTTAGATGATGACGGTGTGAGCACAGTCGGAGTATGTAACTCAACGACACGCGCACTCCGACCAGGGGGCTTTCATCCGAGCAATCCCTGACTTTGACCCACCCGGGGGGTCGTGGGAATCTCCTTTCGGGGATACATCCTCGCCCAGCTTGACTGATAACGATGCCTTTCCCGTTAATCTAAGCATTGTAGTTGTTCGCCATGGAGGTCTTTGTTATGTATTCACATAGTATCTGAACAGTCCTTATTGTTTGAACATAGGCCAGTGATCCTTATTTCCTCCCCAACTGGTTTTTGCGGCCTAGAACTAGATGCTTGTTCCGTGCCTCACAAAAAAGTCCAGAGAACTGCAAACAATCAAATATAATACCCTTAACCACCTCCTCCTTGTACAACCTTCATGCATGTACGATGAACCTCTAGCAATTCCTGCGCGGTTGAGGTATCCCCGAAAGGAGATTCCCACGACCCCCCCCCCGCGGGTGGGTCAAAGTCAGGGATTGCTCGGATGAAAGCCCCCTGACTCCGACTATTTCAACGCTCTTCCGCAAATCCCAACGATCCAAGTAGGACTTCTTATGTGCTGTGGGACTCTGCGTCCCAAAACTGGTTATTGCACTATTACGGATCGGCCTCTTTGAGCAAGTTTGGGTGTTAGGTACCAGCAGCTCTCCCAATGGAACGGCTGATGCAGCCCTAGTCTGAATCCGCGTACGCGCTATCATAGCCGAAAGTGGGAAGACGGGCGGGCATGGTTCGACGCAGTTTCGACGGGTCAGAAGGTGCATTTCTCTGAATGTGTTGCCTGATTCTCCGTTTACTTACAATACTCCTGCCTTTAGTACTCCTACTCGAGAAGAAACCCTTAACTCCAATACAGAAGATGACTTGGCGACTTTCGGCTAGTATTGTATATCGTACGGCGGCGCCGGCTACAATGACGACAACGACGACTACAAGTTTCAACTTTGCCCCCCCTTTACAATGTGGTCCGGGACGCGCAGGTGGAAGCACGTTGTCTTTGATCCATCGGAAAGAACGCCGCCCACATATGTGGGCCGCTCGTCATCGCCCCTTCGAAGCCGAAGATCCGCTACTGGAAGCTTCATGTCCAATGTTCAGAAAATTATCGAAATATCCGGTGCAGGCCACAAGCCACGTGCAGGTATGTAGTTGCGGCGCATCTGCACATATTTAGTTCAAGTGAGTCTGACTCATTGTGGGTCTTCCTTTCACCGAACAGGCAATAGCATCTCTTGCTTTGACGACTCCTCCCTTTGAAGTACCTGGATCTGCAGTGAACGAACGGCACTGAAGTGACGAGCGTGGCCATGGAATCCACTAACAGAGAGATCCAACCTAGGTAAGTAAGTCGATCTGTTGTTCCTTGTGTCAATTCATAAAGGAACATAGAAATGGCGACACCACCCCGTCTATAACGCTCCATGATGCTAGACGCCTCTTCCCTGGTCCTAGGCAAGCGGAATGGGATATCGTGTATTATGCATTAGCTTTGAAAGGTCGAGGATCTCCAATTCACAACCCAGATCCACCAGTCGCACAGTCTATCGAGTATTGCAAGGTCGGCTATTCAATTGGAGACGTGATCCTGTTCGATTATCGAGGATTTGTCGATTTCCAGTTCAACATCTGCGTTCCTGCGGACAGCCCATTCAACGGGCGGCCTAGAAACATTCCCGAGGGGTTCTCTCCGATGTCACCTCCTCTCGACCCCGCCAACGTTCATGAGGATGTGCCTTTCGAAGGCCATACCGTTCTGGATGGGAGATCGGTCAGAAAGTTTCAAATCCATGGGTACTCGTAGGTATATCTTCACCATGACGATAAACCTATGATTCATTTTGCTTTTTTTACTAGTCCTGGCGCAATCTTCGATGCAGTAGCGGAGGAACTGGCAACTTTAACTATTCCAGGAAGGGTGACTTCTCGGGACGTCATCGATGTTTCCTGTTTTCGGAAATATATTGCTGCCAATGCAGTCGGCTGGTACAAGGGCGTAAATGAGGTTGGGGGCCGTCAGGCTACTAACGGGGATTTACGCATTGTAGTAGGTGGGGATCGCTGTAGTTCATGGTCGCGGCTTGCCACCGCTTCAGCTGCTGTCTACATTCCGGACCACGAATCGCCAACCACCAGATCTTTTGTGCAGTTTAATGTAGGCGTTAATGCAGACGGTCTGGGTGTGCTTTATATCATGCAGGGTAATCGACGAATACGGGATCCGGAGGGTGTCGTCTATCAAAATCAGTCCGTCTTCCTGCGGACGCTCAACATATCGGTTTGCGATGATATCTGGTCCCAACTCACTGAAGACTATAGACCACGCATTGACCCATATATGCGTCCTCTTCCTGAAGGCACTACTTTCACGTGGAGATCGCATTCGATTGTGAGTCTCATCCGTCGCTTTCTTTGGATATAAGCTCACATAATATTAAATATAGGGGATGCACCCCGCCAATGGGATCAATGCGTTGTTGCTGAAGCAGGTCTGTTGGCTTCCAATCATAACTTGGATTATAATCAAGTTCCTTTGGTTAGAGACCTCGGGCAAAGTTTGCGATTACCCAAGACAGTGACTGGATTTCGGTCTTGAAGCCTGTAAGTATTGTTTACCTACCATCGCTTTATCTTCTAACCTTGGAACTTAGGATGACCCCACATTGCCATGTGCCAGTGAATTTTTATCACGGATTCTCGAAGTTTATAATGTGTGCGAAGAGGATGGTGAGCAAAACGTCGAAAGCGCACAGAGACCTTGATATTCATCTTTTCTTAGATGTTGTTTTTTTGGAATACAAGCCCGAGGTACCCGTCGCTTTGGATACTGAATTATAGACGTGCTTAACTCTCAACAGGTTCTTTACCGCAATTATCTCACTCATGATCATCACATGTCTCGTAAGTCGTTCTCTTTCCTCGGCCTCATCTTTGTAGTCTCTGAACGCCGACTTAGTCACGTTGCCTCTCTGGCAACCCACTGTGGTTGAAGTGGGCGCGGTCGGCTATCTATCGCGGGAGGATGAAAATTTCGTGACTCTCTTCAACGCTTGTGCTCCCGACGACGCAATTTTCTCTCTTCCTCCAGTTCAAACGGAGATTGTTACCCAGCCAATTCAGAGTGTGAAAAGCAATGCATTTGACGTATCTAGAGCTGACGAAA